CCCCCTGTTTCGGCGGGGTAATTTCAACGACAGTATCAAGGGGAGTTTTCCCCAGTATTTAGAGAGGAAATTCGTGTTCTTCTCAGCAAAACGGCAATTCAGGTGGTCCCGCAAGGGGAAATAGAGGAAGGGTTTTACAGCCGTTATTTTCTCCTCCCAAAGAAAAGTGGGGGCATGCGCCCTATTTTGGACTTACGGCAGTTAAACAAACACCTCCGACGTTACAAGTTCAGAATGCTGACAGCACGTCATCTGCTATCCTCCCTGCGGCCCCAGGAATGGTACACATCGGTGGATTTGACCGATGCATATTTTCATGTCACAATTCATCTGGATCACAGAAAATTTCTGAGGTTCTCCTTCGAGGGGACCGCATACGAATTTCTGGTCCTGCCTTTCGGGTTGTCCGTAGCGCCGCGCACATTCACGAAGTGTGCAGAAGCGGCACTCACTCTGCTGCGTCATCAAGGCATGAGAGTATTCGCCTATTTGGATGATCTACTCCTGGCCATGGACAACAGGAAACAAGCAGTTTTACAAACGGAAGCCCTTGTGTCCCATCTACGAGCTCTGGGATTTTTAATAAATCTCAAGAAGAGCTCCCTGGTTTCGTATCAGCGGATTTTATATCACAGTTTAGAGATCAATTCGGTAAAGAACACAGCTATGCTGTCACTTCAAAGAGCTGAGAAGTTTCACAGCTGCCTAGGTCTTTTTCAACTGGGAAGGCGAGTCCGCTTTCACACAGTGTTGAGGCTTCTGGGGTTGATGGCCTCAATGATAGCAGTCGTTTGGCTGGGTCTCCTATTTATGCGCGCATTCCAGAGATGGGTGCTGAGCTCTGGTCTGAATGTCACACGACATTTAAACAGACAGGTGACGACAACGCCAAAGTGCGTTCGGGCTCTGGTTCCCTGGGGATCCCCGGGTTTGTTGACAGAGGGGATTCCCCTAGGCAGAGTGAAATGAAGAGGTTCGATAGTAGACTAATTTTAATGGATGTGAAACGCAGCAGGCAGTCGGTCAGAACTGTATAAGATGAGGCTTAGTTGAACAGACACACCAGGCAGGGTTCAAACTTCACTTATTTACTGAAGAGCTGGTTGATTTACATATGGGGTATGTAGGTGTGGTTCTATAACAAATTAAACAAAGAAATAAACATTAACATACCTATACATCATTAATAATAAACATTATTAACAGCATTCAGTCTAACAAACCCATTAAGGAAGTGCTATCAGACAGAATAATAATTCTAAACATCACCACAAGGAGGTGCTAATAGCACATAAATGCGTTTAACTAGACATTCCATATGCTCAGTATACGGCGCCGATTACCTCATGATAATGATCATCTCTAAAGTAACCGTAAAACTAATAATAACATAATGTCTCATACATAACATAAAGTAACATGCAGAATCTCCGAAATATTACTAAAGAAGAAGTAATACAGGCAGATTTATGCCAATCAGGTACCGCTCGCGCTAATGAACATCGTCTAACAGTTTCTGCATACTAACGGAAAAACTTGGAAATATAAACTTACTTGGTATGTACGCACACAGCGACTCAATGTATATGTAAACCAGCTGAATAATCGTCGAACACTACAGATTAACTAAACTGAAACTGTCAAGTATCTTAACTAATAATTATGATGCGTCTTCTCTCTCCGACTGAATCCACCTCAGCACCAATTCACCTCAGCACGAATGTCACTATGGCAACCTTGTACTCTATGATTGGTTGAAATCGTCCAGGACATTTAAAGGTATCCGGACCTTTTGTACACAGAGTCACGTCACGCATAGTAGTGACGACAGATGCGTCACTACATGGATGGGGAGCTCTATGTCAGGAGAACTCCGTGAAAGGGGAATGGCCATCAGCACAGAAGGAGCGTCATATAAATTATTTCGAGTTGCAGGCAGTGTTTCTGGCACTGAAACCAGTGTTGTAGTACTCGAGACTCGGACTCGTCTCGGACTCGGTCTCGAGACCATATTTTAATGGTCTTGGTCTTGTCATGGACTCGTGTCCATTTGGACTCGGAATTGACTCGTACTCGAACATTTTTTTTTTTAGGACTCGGAATTATTCCCGAGTCCACTCGAGTTCAATTAAAAATATTTTTCATGATTATTAATGTATATTAATAAAATATTTATTTAAATTGATTGACATGCCCAGTGATTGGTGATTTTCTAGTGCGCAACTGCGGATGACAAATTGTAATAAAATTACTTTTAACACCACCTACTATGTGGCCTTTTTACCCTAAACTGATCATATTTTTTAAACTCCAAGTAAATTCAGTAAAAAAAAAAAAAGGATTTCTCTAAGTAAATAAAAGTAAATTAGGTAATCAACCCTCACTGGTCTCGGTCTCGACTCGGACTCGACCGTCTCTGGTCTCGGACTCGACTCGGACTCGACTCTCTCTGGTCTCGTGTCGACTCGGACTCGAGTGAGGTGGTCTCGACTACAACACTGACTGAAACACTTTGTGCAGAGTCTACGCGGCAAGCATGTGTTGGTCAGGACAGACAACACGACAGTAATGTCGTACATAAACAGACAAGGGGGCACCCGCTCTCTTCCATTGCTGCAACTGACACGAACACTCCAAATATGGGCCAGTGAGCATTTAGCTTCGCTCAGGGCAGTACATGTGCCGGGCCGTCTGAATGGTGGAGCGGACTTTCTATCCAGGGGGGGACCGCAGGTCAGGGAATGGCGTTTCCACCCGAGGATAGTGGCACAGATCTGGGATCGTTTCGGCAGGGCCGAGGTCGACCTTTTTGCGTCTAGGGAAAACACACACTGTCCGCTGTTCTTTTCGATGACAGACAGCAGCGCCCCGCTTGGGGTGGACACGCTGTCTCATGTATGGCCCAAAACTTTGCTGTATGCTTTTCCGCCAGTAGAATTGATACAGCCCACTCTGGACAGAGTGCGCCAGGAGGGTCTGTCACTGATTTTAGTAGCTCCGTGCTGGCCAACGAAAACATGGTACACAGACATCATGACACTGTTGTCAGGGACCCCGTGGTGTCTCCCCCAGTGCAGGGACCTGCTGTCCCAGGCGAAAGGTCAGGTTCTACATCCTCGACCGGGACTGTGGCGTCTATGGGTCTACCCACTGAGAGGGAAAATCTAATAGCAGCAGGTCTCCCGATTAATGTTGTGGCCACAATACAGAGTGCTAGAGCACCTGCAACGAGAGGACTTTACACGTCGAGATGGCGCATATTTGAACGGTGGTGCGGACAAAGGTCATTATCACCATGTCAATGGCCGATTGCAGGAATATTGACTTTCCTACAAGAATTGTTCGAGGAAGGTCACTCGCATTCCACTCTGAAGGTGTACTTAGAGGCCATTTCGGCCTGTCACGAGGGTATTAATGGGGCTGCGCAGAGCGCACACCCACTGGCTGTTCGGTTCCTTAAAGGAGCGAGACGGCTTAAACCCGTCACGAAGACAATGGTACCATCATGGGATCTGATTATCGTTTTGGAGGCCATGTGCGGACCCCCATTTGAGCCCTTAGAATCATTAGATCTAAATATGCTGTCTTATATAACAGCCCTGTTACTGGCGCTGGCATCAGCGGAATGCGTTGGTGAGCTCCATGCACTGTCAGTACATCCGTGCATTCAGTTTGCGCTGGATGGGTCTAAAGTAGTGTTGCGTCCAAACGCAGCTTACACACCAAAAGTCATGTCAGGAGCATATGGTGCACTCTCCTTTGAGCTGCCAGCTCTATCAAATCTCTCGATTGATTCAGAGGAGGATGAGAGACTCTTTTGCGCAGGTATATTGAGCAAACGCAGGCTGTGCGTTTATCCGACCAGCTTTTTGTGTTTTGCCAATCCAGTTCGGGGAAAACCGCTGTCTAAAGAGCGTCTTTCGCATTGGACCATGGAGGCAATTTCAATTGCAAAGAAAAGTAAAGGGTTAGATCTACCACCCGGAGTGCGGGCGCATTCTACACTGGGCATGGCAAACTCATGGGCATTGTTTAGAGGGGTGTCAGTAGACGACATTTGTGCGGCAGCCAGTTGGGCATCCCCGCACACGTTTGTTCGGTTCTACCGACTAGATGTCACTGCTTTAACAGTGGCTTGGTCCGTGCTTACTACACTTCAGACCAAGGGCTGTCACTCTCTTGAAAGGGGAGGATTATGTGGCGGTTGTGGTTCCTTACGTTTAGTTCAGCGACTTTGCGGGGCGTGAATACAGGTCCCATAGTATTGTGTTGTACTGAGTTGACCAACTGAATGGGAACGGTGAGTTATGCATATGCTACTGTTCCCAGAAGGAGGGAAACGAGGTACAACACCTCTGGGCCCCACGCAGTCGGGTGCCCGGTGAAGAGCTGGACTGAACAAGGGGTATGATGCATACGACCGCATTTATATGCTGTGGGCAGGTAGTCCGCCCACGTCGGCATGCGTCATTGGCCTTTCAGACGTTAATATAGGTGTCTTCAGCAGGTGGCGCTAGAGCGTGATATCCCATAGTATTGTGTTGTACCTTGTTTCCCTCCTTCTGGGAACAGTAGTTGTATGCATATCTCAACGTTACAAACCTGTAAGACTTTCGTTCATCTTTAAGATCTTTTTGATGAAATCTGAGAGCTTTATATCCCTACATTGACTGCTACCGCTATGCAACTACCACTTCAATGCTTCAAAAAGTTATCGTAAATCTAATTCATATCCCCCTCGTTGAAGCCAATACCTAATTGCCTAATCCTAACCCCACCCCCACAACTAATCCTAAACCTACCTATACTAGGGACTTTATCTGGAGTGCAGGAACTGTGACTGACTGAATGTGTAATGTAGCACAATATTACAATTGTGGAGACATTTTAATCATTCACAATCTAATATCATGATATCATACATCCCGTTGGTTTAGAGATAGTTTTTTTTTTTTTCTGTTGTGAACAAGTGGTGTTAAAAGTCTTCTTTTTTTCAACAGGGCTTTCATGAACGTGAAGGAGCTGAAAGAGGTTTTGAATTTGGATGGATCCACACACTTGAACATATTCTTTGCTAACTCGTCCGATGAAGATGTGGCTGGTGTGGGCACTTGGCCCTGGGATAAAGAAGCTTTAACACATTTGGGTAAATAAATACATTGACCACAAAAAATAGATTACAGTTGGATGTATTTTTGTGTACAACATATATTTAGCAGTTTTTAAGCATTTGAAAGTGCCCCTATTACAGTACGCTATATGAAAGGTTTCTTATTTTGTTTTGGAGGACTCATGCAAAAGGATTACAAAAATGCATCCAAGGTCAAAAAAACACTTTAATTTTCACGTAATATACATTGCACATCACTTCTCAAAGAGTTACATTTTTATTTATTTATTTATTTTTATTTTATGGTCAAAGATTTAGTCTCTCTAAACCCCTCCTTTCTGCGAGCCTACTCTGCTTAGGGCTGTCGCGGTTATGGAATTTCCCTTGCGGTAATGTTGAGTGGCTCAATAGCGCGATATGCGATATAGATACAGTCGGCAACGCGTCATAGTTGGGGGGGCGTGGTCGGTGTGGGGGAAAGCAGCGCGACCATCCTATGTATTTGAATGACAAAAATGTCATATTGCGAGTCATTTATGCCTGCCGACCGGCAACGGTACATTGCAAAATTAACTGTAATAGGTTATGACTGCCCTTATTTAATTAAAAACTGGGTCAATGACCCAACAAATGGCCGGAGGTGTCGTTTCCAGACTATTATATCTGGTTGAATCTTCAGGTAAGACATCGCGGAAGCTACCGGCAACACAAGCCTGTAACTCAATCAACTTGCGTATTTTTACTATAAGTCCATAAAACCATGTCACTTACCAATTGTACGTATGCTTCACGCCAAACTATTAATCCTTTTGTAAAACGGTGATCATTAGTAGTCGCTACGAAGTTGCAGAGGGACTTTGCTGACAGTTATCCGAATTCTCACAGACTGTCTGATAACCTTCAGCTGATAACGCTAATAACATCCCTTATGAAAAACAACTAAAGGAATCTTGTAGTATTTAGGACAAAATATTATAGTAACGTTAATCCTATAGGAATACTATAGTATTTTGGGACATAGCCTAGAAGTATATTAATGAACATCACAGAAGTATTATACACTACTATAGAATACTAATAGCCATAGGATTACTATAGTTCTTTTTCGTAAGGGATGTAACGTCAGACAAATCTGGCCCACTGCCTAATACGAGTTAAACATCTATATCACACGGACCTCTACTCACACAAATCTAATAAGATATGATTCATTTTGCCATTTTGTCCTCCTATCCGGTTCTGTATGTATGTAAGAAAGGCTGTAGAACTTCAATTTATAATTTGTTTGTTTATTTGTGGTACAGAAAACGACACCGCAACTCTTCGGCATGATTGTCCCATGTATTTCAATGAGCGCCAAGGCAATGTTTTCCCCCACGGGCTAAATTCACACCACGTGACGGGGCGTTCCCGGGGGCGTTCCCAGACCAACCGACTGTATCTATTACCGCCAATTATTTATTTATTTATTTAATTTAAAGGCCTATGTATTTGTTGCTATATAAATAAAGTTTACGATGTGGACAAAAACGAGGACATTTTCAGTAACCAATACCGAAACTAAACAGCGTCTACAGTTAGTACATGCGCATTGAAAGACTTTCACTTAGCGCGCATATTGTTATGACAACGGACTTTGAGCGAGTCATTGAACCGTTCATTCAACGAACACGTCTAAAAAAAGCTGATTCATTAAAAGAGATGTAAAGAAACAAGATGTTAATTATTTCAACTTGTCAAGGCTCAGCTGAGCAGCAATGCGTCGCATGGGCAACGCTGAAGCTGATGCTTCACTTATTAGAGACCAATATATCATTCAATGCGTGACTCACTGATTTTATTTCCCCGTGGTTTCCTTATGCTGTGGGATGCTTACCAGCGCTGCTGCTGACGCGCATTTATGGGAAAATACCCGCGAAGAGAACGTTAAAATGATGATGCGACAAATATTTCGCTTCCCTTTGACACGACAAGCTTTTCACGACTTCAAAGACAGACGCAGGTAATCGCACGCGCTCTGCCGATCATTCACTGTCTGTGTGAAGCCTGTAGGCTACACATCACCATGATTAACAGTCTTGTTATCGTTATGAACTTGTTTAACATTCAATACACATGCATTAAGTTCAAAACAAGAAGGGTATAGCCTTATAAAAAAAAAAAATAAAAAAAACGTGAATATCGCGGTTGCTGCGGTTACGTGCAGTCCTCTGCGGTTGACTTGTCTGAAGCGCGGTACCGCAATATTGCGGTTACCGCGACAGCCCTAACTCTGCTCTTGTGATTTTTTTTTTTTATGCATTAAACAACATATATAGAACAATACAACAAACAATATAAAGGCAGGGGAATAAAGAAAAGGAAAACAAGTCATAATAAAGAGAAAATAAATAAATAAATAAATAATAATAATAATAATAATAATAAATAAATAAAATTTACACTCAAAAACCCAGTCTTGTGATTAGGCTTACAACGTGTGTCGGAAACTAAATGCCTATTATCATATCTCAGCTCTGGAGGCTTCCTCAGCGCTTGAAACACAGTGATATGAACAGTAATGATGGCATAGTTTTTTTTTCTGTATCAAGCACAAATCCGCTTTTTAAACTTGTTTTATTTCTTTCAATATTTTAACTTTATGCACATTGCATCGAGCAAAAATTAAATTAAATGCAACAGTCTCAGACTAGAATAAAATTGTTGAACATTTAAACCTATTTTCTGCACATTCCACCATATTTTAATGAAATAAAGACAGCCCTTATTCTGTTAATATAAATTTCTACATATTGCAGCATATAAAATAAATATGTTTTGTAAAATCCTTCATTTGAATAGATGTAAAAATACAGCAACAAAATCATGAAAGTCGCTCCTGACTATATTACAAATTATTAACACACGTCTTTTAACAGTAAAGTGCAGAGAGGAGCAAAAATTAGTTGATCAAAACAGAAAATGCTGTTGCATGCCGTATTTTGGCTTCAAGTTTTTTTCTGTTTTTTTTTTTTTTTTTTTCCCTAACGGAGTTAAACTGGTTCTATGTCCCATCAGCATGTAGCCGCAGCGGTCATGTCAGATCGGGGGTTCAGGATTTTTTTCAGTAAGTTTCACATTCCTGTACCGGCTTGCTGCTTTAGTTAACTGTGTGAGGTTGTCTCGTGACATGCTTGCTCAGATTTGAGGTAGAATTTTGAAATTCTCCAACGGGGGTCCTGTTTCCAGATCAGGATGATCTCTGCATAGTACGCAAGTCTCTCTCTCGCTCTCGTCGTGCGCGCGATACGAAGTTTGGACTTTGGAACACAGTCGCGCATGCGCGCTCGCTCTAGATTCCGGGAGATTTTAACCAATTTGCGGTATAACTAGTCAATCACAAATGTGGCTCAACGGTTATATTTATAAATAGTTATCTTTCAGGCATTTGACCGACGGGATTGACACTTCAGCGCGAGAAATCGGGGGTGTGTCGTGTGAGCGTGTGTGAGAGTTGGCAGCTCGGCTGCTCTCTCCCGCGCTCTCGTCTCTCACTGATGTCGCGGCGCTCATCATTTTTATTCACGCACGACTCATGTCACGCGAGACGGTCTGACTAAACAAAATCACGGTTAACTAACGCAGTAACGCATGCTGTTTACGGGGAAGTAACGGTAATCTAATTACTGTTTTTACAATTGTAATCCCTTACTTTACTCGTTACAAGAAAATAGTAATTGGATTACAGTAACGCGTTACTTCTAACGCGTTACTGCCCTTCAGTATAACATGAAGGGAGACTGGAATTGCTGGTGACTCATTTTGGCAGTTCAGAATTGATTCGTTCTTTTAGGAGACAATAATTTTGTTTGTCGTGCACTTTGCAGATATTATACATTCAAAAATAGCTATATTACACAGTGCATAGGTAATATGCGAAAAAGCATAGGGGCACTTTAAAGAGCAGTGATCAAAAAAGATCGACAAAAGATTTCCGAGCTATGGCACAATGGTTGCACACACGTGATGACATAAAAAGCTGCAGCGTTCCCACAGAGAAGCAGGTTTGAGTCTGAATTTTTATTTTCTGTCAACGTTTATTGTCATCAGAAAACATTCCAAAAATCAGGTACCAAATAAGATGATGTTTATGATACCTATTTCTCTGTCTGTTTTGAGGTGGAATTGTATTAAACCCTTCATTTTATGGTACGTTTGGCCACACTCACACCATGATCCATGAGATTGGGCACAGCCTCGGACTGTACCATGTCTTCAGAGGAATCTCAGAGGTGGAGTCCTGTAACGATGCCTGCTTGGAGACTGAGCCCTCTCTTGAGACTGGAGATCTGTGTGCAGATACCAATCCCACACCCAAGTACAAGTACTGCAGAGATCCTGAGCCAGGAAATGATACCTGTGGCAGACGTCATTTCAAAAACACCCCTTTCAACAATTACATGAGCTATGCTGGTAAGACAAATATATCAATGCAAGTGTTTTTTGCTAGTTTCAGCTTGACACAGTTATCATTTTCACGTCCTGCGCCACGTTGTTTAAATAGCAAATACGCAAACTAGATAAATATTATAATAAAAACCATTACAATGTAAAAGATGAATATTATGTACATAAAGATTTGGTGGAATCCTTGTCCTGTAGATGGTCTGCTTGCACGGTTTAAAGGTCCCCTGACATGGGGTTATTTTATCATTTTATAATGTTTCCTGGGTTGCCCTTATAATGTTAGTATGTTTTTTAGATCAAAAATAGTCTCAATTTAGAAATAAAAGGCATATTCCTGGCCTTTGAACGCTCTGTTTGAAGGGCATGTCTGCTTTGGGATTCAGTGTAACCGCCACTGCTGTGATTGGCTGACATGCGTGCATATGAAATAGATACATTACATGTGAAACTCTCTCAAATACTTTTACTACAGCTATTATACGTTTTTACTATTACAGCTATCGAGATTACCGAATCGTGAGAAGTTTTTGAAGTATTTAGATTCCCATCACATAAAATGTTGGTGTGATGAGCATTGACCAAGCAGATGACAGTCTGTTGATCACGAGAATGAAGATCTTATCATGGCAACACAGTTTTTGCACTTTCTCTAATGCTTTCACCAATGCAAACATGACAATGCACATACAGTAAGAGCTTTGTTGTGCAGTGTAACTTGCGTCATTGATTTCAGAACGAGTTGTCCAGATAAACTCACGCTGTGTGGAAAGATTGTTCTTTGATCGCTTTCTGTGTAATTTGTATAATTTAAATGTAATTATATTCATCCTACTAAAAGAAACGATGTAAAGTTGATATTTTAGTCACTGGCTTGACTTACTGATGCATAAACATTATCGAACGATTTTGAGAGAAAGATTAACTTACCTGTCTGAACTTGAACAATTAGGCTGCACATCAGAAATGGTTGCTTGGTAGCTCAATCGATTTATTTTCAGACGTTCATCGAGTTGAGGAAACAGTCGTCTGTGAAATGTTTGGACCATACAAAACTTTGGGAGTTGAGTCGGCGCATTTCCAGAGAAAATAAAATTAACCCATTGTTTCTTCAGAGGCTTGGATGAAGGGACTAAAAAATACTTTTTTTTTTCATATGTAAATCAGAACACTGATAAACTGTCATGCTTCTCTTGTTTGCAAGCCATGATATCTCTTGAGGAAACAGTCAAACCTCAAAGCTATTTCTCTGGGAAAAACTAAAATCGCGCCTGCGTGTTCGTACTTCCTGTTCCTAGCTCTTTTCTCATGGTCCAGCCAAATTCTCAGGGGTGGGCTAGGCAGAGAAAGGGAAGGTAACCTGTCCCCCGTATGACGTCATACGGGGGAGATTCAAGATCATCATGTCTGAGCTGCAGAGAAGAGAAAGATAGTCAAAGCTCGGTTTACACCGATTGTCTAGACATGAGGCGACCAAAGACAGGCTAGGGGAACTAATATTAATGATAAAAAAACTCAGAAAATGAAAATTTTATGTCAGGGGACCTTTAACCTCTCGCACAAGCAGATCCGTTTACTCTCTGGAGAAGCGCTCAGTCTTTCCGCTTGCAAATTCCGCCATGCAAATAGCGAATCCGCCATGGCGCGAGTGCAACTGGCTTTTAAAGGGAATGGGAAATTACACTCTGATTGGCTTTTTGCACATTATGCCCAAAACACACTCATTACTCATTAAAAAAAATAGAGATAACCCTTTAAGACCATGGTCGCCCATTTGTGAAATGGATTTAAAATTTGTGTAATGTCTGTGATTTCTTTGTTTTGTTCCCATAAAGATGATGACTGCACAGATTCCTTCACGCTGAACCAAGTTGCTCGGATGCACTGTTACTTAGATCTGATCTACCAGTCTTGGAGACCTGGCAGTAAACCAGCTCCTGTTCCTCTACCTCCTCGAGTAACAGCGCAGGACCAAGACTCTCTTACCCTGGAATGGTTCCCTGCCCTCACTGGCCATTACTTTGACAGGTGAAAAGAACTATTAAACAAGTATTAAAATGTCAATACATAATTTTCCCCATAATGAAAAAAATATAATTTCTTAAAATGAAACCCAAGAAGTAACTTTTTTTCTAGGAACATATTGAGAAGTTATTATGAATGTATTGAAAAAAAAAATCCTACAAAAAAATCTAGGAAAAGATTTGTTTTTACAACATTTAGCCTAATTCATTTTTTTATTAGCCTAATTTTTAATATGAATGTGTATTTCTATAAAATCACAAAAAAAGTTTTAAACTGTATATAAAATGTCCCAACAAAAACATTCTCATATAAATCTCAAAGAAAATAAAAGAAATAAAAATCTATAACATTTAGTTATATTGACCACTTTGAAAATCAGCACTCTATGAAAGTTAAGCACCTCCTTCTGTGTACATTCAAGGGTTAAAAAAAAAAAAAAAAATCCACGCCCTGTACAATAAAAAGTGCCTAATATTAAACAAATGATAATCACTGTAGAGAGGAGAGACCTGATACAAAATAATGCACACTGAAATGAGATGTTTTGAATGTCTCCAAGACTTGTTTCAGTAGTTCATTTTAAGTTTCATTAGGTTTTATTAGTTCTTTCCAGAAATTAATATATTGTGTAAGTTCCCCAATAAAAATTGTTAGAGAGATGCTAAACATGTCAAGGTCAATCATGCCAATAACGGTTAAAGTTTATGTAGTGCAGTAATGTACTGTATGTGCCATCAATAGATTGAATTTTTAGTGGGCTGCTGGAGAGTTTCGAGTCATGTAACAATTTCTCTCCCATGACCATAGCATTTCTTTCAACAGTTTTATTGATTTTTAGGGTGTGGTTACACTTGCTATGTTTGGTTCAATTAAAACTAACTTTGGTGTGATTGCTCTGTGTGACGCTGTGCGGAGAAACAGAGCTGAGGCTGGATCCAAATGCAGTGTAGCTTTAATCAGAAACTTGAAACAGGAAACAAGACAAGAAGCAAGACTAGCAAGAATACAAAAACACCAACGTTCACATACATAAATTCAACAACCAACCAAGACAGGGCAGAAACACAGGGCTTAAATAATCAAACGAGCTAGACAAGATAACAAGGGGGCGTGAGAAATGAGAAACACCTGGGATAAATAATAGACGGGCAATAACTAATAACGAAAACACACACAATCACTTCGTGACATAGCCTCCCCCCTATGGGCGGCTCCCGACGCCCATACAAACAAAAAAAAGTTCAGGAGGGCGGTGAAGCAGAGACAGTCTTGGGGGAGGGACGGAGGGCCAGGCCCGTGCAGGGGAACAGGACCAGGAGGTAGCCAAGGCGGGCCTGGGCCGCAGAGCATGGGCATACCAGACTGGGCCGGAGACCAAGGCGGAGCAGGACGAGGCGGAGGCCAGGGCGGAGCAGGACGAGGCAGAGGCCAGGGCGGAGCAGGACGTGGCAGAGGCCAGGGCGGAGCAGGACGTGGCAGAGGCCAGAGCGGAGCAGGACGAGGCAGAGGCCAGGGCGGAGCAGGACGAGGCAGAGGCCAGGGCGGAGCAGGACGAGGCAGAGGCCAGGGCGGAGCAGGACGAGGCAGAGTAGACTCAAACAGAGACGAGGGCGGAGCAGACACAGGCAAGGTCCATGACAGCCTCGCCTCCATGGCCCTCACAGACTCAGAGGTCCATGTCAGGATCACCTCCATGGCCCCCACAGAGTACCTACTGCCCCCCCCCCCAAAAATACTTGGGGAAATTCACGGGAGGAGCCTCTGGGTGGTGAACGGGTACAGGAAAGGCCTCCCGGAGCTTGAAGGGTGCAGGCAGAGCGAGGCGCAGAGGCGGGGCCGGCAGGGCGAGGCGCAGAGGCGGGGCCGGCAGAGCGAGGCACAGAGGCGGGGCCGGCAGAGCGAGGCGCAGAGGCGGGGCCGGTAGAGCGAGGCGCAGAGGCGGGGCCGGCAGAGCGAGGCGCAGAGGCGGGGCCGGCAGAGCGAGGAGTCTGGGCACGCTCACCGGGGCCTGGCGAACCAAACGAGTCCTCCTTCTCCTCCTCCTGCGGCGGCGCGTCACAGGGCTAGACACACTCGCTGGGCTGGACAACTCACTCACTTGAACTGGAGATGCAGCGCTCACTTGAAGAGGAGATGCAGCGCTCACTTGAAGAGGAGATTCAGCGCTCACTTGAAGAGGAGATTCAGCGCTCACTTGAAGAGGAGATTCAGCGCTCACTTGAAGAGGAGATTCAGCGCTCACTTGAAGAGGAGATTCAGCGCTCACTTGAAGAGGAGATTCAGCGCTCACTTGAAGAGGAGATTCAGCGCTCACTTGAAGAGGAGATTCAGCGCTCACTTGAAGAGGAGATTCAGCGCTCACTTGAAGAGGAGATTCAGCGCTCACTTGAAGAGGAGATTCAGCGCTCACTTGAACTGAAGATTCACTCACTTGAACAGGAGACTCGCTCACTTGAACTGAAGATTCGGCACTCACTTGAACTGAAGACTCACTCACTTCAACAGGAGACTCGCTCACTTGAACTGAAGATTCACTCACTTCACCAGGAGACTCGCCCACTTGAACTGAAGATTCACTCACTTGAACAGGAGACTCGCTCACTTGAACTGAAGATTCGGCACTCACTTGAACTAAAGACTCAGCCCTCACTTGAACTGGAGATTCATCCACTTGAACAGGCGATTCCCTCGCGGGGCTCACGTGAATCGCGAGTTCGGCAGGGCTGACGTGAAGCGCGGGCTCGGCTGGGCTGACGTGAGTCGCGGGCTCGTCAATGCGCACCTGAAGCGCGGGCTTGTCGTGACTGACGTGAACCAGCGGTGAAGACGACGAGGGCTTCGCGGGTAAAGTACACTCGGCAGGTGTCGAGTAGAATAAGCGGGCAGTAGTGAAGAGGTCCTGCAAGGAACAAGCCCGAGCGACATACCCGTCAAGAGTCCAGTTGGCAAGGTCCCGCGGCATCCATCGAGCGATCTCATAATCCAGCCCATTCAGAAACAGGCCCATGAGCTGGATATCATCTAGCGCTCCCACACTGCAAATGGACAGGAACTCCTTCGCGTACCTTTGGACAGACCGGCCCTCTTGCAAGACTGACGACAGGTATTCTGTCATAGCCCGGTTGCTGACGACTGCTGGACCCATATTGAGGTTGGTTGTTCTGTGACGCTATGTGGAGAAACAGAGCTGAGGCTGGATCCAAATGCAGTGTAGCTTTAATCAGAAACTTGAAACAGGAAACAAGACAAGAAGCAAGACTAGCAAGAATACAAAAACACCAACGTTCACATACATAAATTCAACAACCAACCAAGACAGGGCAGAAACACAGGGCTTAAATAATCAAACGAGCTAGACAAGATAACAAGGGGGCGTGAGAAATGAGAAACACCTGGGATAAATAATAGACGGGCAATAATAACGAAAACACACACAATCACTTCGTGACACTCTGTTAGTCTGGCTCATTTTAATAAGTGTGAATGCAGCCATCCGAACCCTGGTGCGCACACCAAAGAAGTGGACCGAGACCACTGAAAAGATGGGTTTCGATTGAAATATGAATGCAAAGACATGTAAACAAACCAAAAACATGACATGGTGTCACAACAAGTGACCCGAAAATGACACAATGCTCATGAATACATCACAGTTCGGTACAGGCATCAGAACCGCATCTCCTTGCAGCAGATCTTTATTTGTGTGTGTGACAGAGAGAATCCTGCCACTGTTTTGGCTCCTTAACACATTTTATGAGCTCTTCAGGAGTTGTCAGTTCCATCATACACAGTTGTGGTTAGAATTATTGGAACCCCTGGTAAATTCTAGGGGTGCCAATAATTGTGGCCAAGTCAAGGTGTTTTGGAGGAAAAAAAAATCATTTAATTTTTCATAATGTGATTTCACCCCCACTTTTAATTATTTTACTACAATGATGGGTAACACTTTAGAATACGGTTCCTTCGTTAATGAATAACTACACAAGAACTAATGAGTAACACAATATTAACAATCTAGTAACTATTATTAACTAACAAGAAACTCTGATTAACGAACTAGTAAGTAATAGCGCACAGACGAAAGTGGTAGTTCACTATTAAGTAATCAATAACTACTATTTTTTTAATACTTCCCAGAGAACTACTGAAAAAGTTTATTAACAATCTAGTAACTACTATTAACTAAAATAATTCTTATTAACGAATTAGTAAGTAATAGCTCACAGATGAAAGTGTTACTAGATACTTCTGTGGGAGTTACTAATTATTTGGATTCATATTATAAAGTGAAGATCATTGGAACTAACTAGTAATTACTCAAGTGTTACTAAAGACATTTTTTAAAAGTATACTAAAGTTCACCAAAAATCTCAAACGGTTGCACAAATCATGTAGTAACACTTGAGTAATTACTAGTTAGTTCCAATGATCTTCACTTTATAATACGGATCCAAATAATTAGTAATTCCCACAGAAGTATCTATTAACACTTTCATCTGTGAGCTATTACTTACTAATTATTTGGATCCGTATTATAAAGTGAAGATCATTGGAACTAACTAGTAATTACTCAAGTGTTACTACATGATCTAGTCATGATTTGTGCAACCGTTTGAGATTTTTGGTGAACTTTAGTATACTTTTAGAAAATGTCTTTAGTAACACTTGAGTAATTAGTTAGTTCCAATGATCTTCACTTTATAATACGGATCCAAATAATTAGTAATTCCCACAGAAGTATCTAGTAACACTTTCATCTGTGAGCTATTACTTACTAATTCGTTAATAAGAATTTATTTTAGTTAATAGTAGTTACTAGATTCTTAATAAACTTTTTCAGTAGTTCTCTGGGAAGTATTAAAAAAAATAGTAGTTATTGATTACTTAATAGTGAACTACCACTTTCTTCTGTGCGCTATTACTTACTAGTTCGTTAATCAGAGTTTCTTGTTAGTTAATAATAGTTACTAGATTGTTAATATTGTGTTACTCATTAGTTCTTGTGTAGTTATTCATTAACGAAGGAACCGTATTCTAAAGTGTTACCCAATGATGTTTTTGCGAATATCCTTTTATCTTTTCTTGTTTTTTTGCGAAGGGATAAAAATCCAGGTTTATTTTTATAGCCATCTTTGATCATATTTACCTGGGGTACCTATAATTCCGACCAAAACTGTCCTATTATATGTACACACATACAACGAGCGCATTTAGCCCAGCACACAGCATTGTTTTGGATGTTCCTGTCGCAAAATGCATGTCTTTTTATTTTACTTTATGTTCGGTGACAGTGTGAATGCTAAGCAAACTAGGGCTACATGTGTTATTTTCTTTTTTTGGTCAAGAACAGAAGAACAAAGAGAACCAAACAACAAGTGTGAACACACCATTAAAGGCATCAAGAGGTTATAAAAAAGTTGTGGTGTTGCTGTGTCTAAGTTGCTACTTTGGCTCTCTGTTGATTTCCTAGAGAAGTGGGATCAGTTTGTGACAGATGTACTGAAGTTGGGGTGCTCCTTCAATATGCCTCGAACTCATCCTCTCCCAGACCCTGCGCCCCCTCTGGCCACTGGAGCCCCCGTGAAGCCGAAGGTAAGACTCAGTAACTCTACTGAATCTTTAGACTCAGGGCTCTGATACAGTCCGACCATTTTGCTCGCATACGCCCCTAAAAATCGATACGTACGAATAAATGTGCTTACAAAGTGCAAGTAACTACAACCTACCATAATCGAAAACGAGACGATAATTAAATAAAAACTAGTTTTGAATGACAAAAGCTATGACGAAAATCTATTGAACATTTTCGTCAACGAATAAAAACTAGACAAAAATGTTAGATACTTACTGACGATTTGGGAAGCGATCCAGTCAGAACTTGTGTCCTACGTTAGATGCGCACATTTGTACTGTAACGTGCTGATCTACCCAGCGGCACACGGGTTGACATGCACTGCATCTCATAAAACGTTAAAAAAATGTAAACGTCTGGGAGACCCAAACCGTGCAGCCGAGCACATAGACACACAGCGCGCGAGGACTGAACTGAGCTCTCTTTCATGTCTGAATGGACTAAATACACTATTAAATACAACATTATGTCGAAATGTGCGTTTTGGAGAGTTTTCAGGTAAACTATGTTGGTTATGTCTTAAACAGTTTAATGTATTGGATGTACATCAGTGCAATTTGATCCGCATGTCATTGGACATGATCAGATGATCATGATCCGTGGGTAATAAACTTAATGCAGTCTGTCATCAAGCAACAAAAGAAAAAGATAATAACATTCACTGCTCGTTAATAGCTATAATAAGGATTCATTATATTTAATTCATACAAATAAATATGTCTACTGCTTAAAAGAATAAAGAATGATTTATGCAAGTTGTTGTATCATTTATACATGCAAGAATGCATGCATCATTCATTTAAAATAAAGCTACTTTAGTAAAAGTTGTTTTATTTAATACATTTAAAGACATTAATCGCAGTATAGTTAAATCTGTATCTACATGTATATTGCTTGTTCAAACTTTAAAATCTTTCATATTAACTGTTTAATAGATGTTTTCTCCAGGAGTATTAATGGGTTTGGAAATTTTAGAGAAATTCTAAATTAATGCACTACAGTTGAACTAAAACCATTATATTTTAGTCATCTGAAATGTTTTAGTTTTAGTTGACAAAATACAATAAGAGTTTAGTTGACTAAATCTATAGTAGATACTAATACTATACTAATACATTCATTTGAACTAGTTTCTCCTTCATGTTGTGGAAAGAGCCTCCACTGCAGATGTCCACTGCACAGGTGTGTCAATGTGCTCCTAGCCTCCTCCTGAGAGCAACACGTTCCCCTTGTTCTGTTTTATGAAGTGATTTTAAAGTGTGATTTATACTTCTGCATCAAATCGACGGCTTCACACCATAGTTGAACAAAGAGAAGGAGCACACGCGTAGTGTTTATATGTAATAAATTGTTTGTTAAACTTTCACTGCGCTCCAAAATGTATTTGTGTGCTCCTACATTTTTTTCTTTTAGGAGCACATGTGCTCCTTGGGAAAAACCTTAGCGTAGAACCCTTAGACTAAAATATTATCCAAAAGCCTTACAACAGATGCCTTCTTGGTTTGACTGATATGCATTTTGAAATAAGACTTTTAAAAAGCAGAAAACTTACAAAAAACTTCTTGACCAGTCCAGGAAGATAAAAGGTAATAATAGGATTTTAGTGGTTAAATTTAATATGACATTATGCCATTCACATTGCATATGTTGAGACTTACAGACAATTTAATGGATTTGTTAGTGGCCTACTTGAATTATTTTAGGAGGATTCCTGTTTGGATTTCAGCTGACTACTTTGGCAAAATGAAAGGAACCTGTTTCTATTGACACTTGGAAATTGTGTTTAATTGGTGAGTGCCGTTCAGAGCCATTAATGCTGCAGTTTTATTGAGTGGCATAAATGATTAAAGCATTGCACCCAATGCATAATGCCAAGTGAGGCCAATATTGGATGGAACAGCAAAGTAATCTATGAGGAGAAGAACTAAAAAGTGTGGAAAAAATTAGTCATAGGGGTTGTCATAAATTTTGATTTTCTCATGTGTTTATTTTAAGGCTAGAAAAATGTGGACATATGGAAGAATTGGTCCATAGAGCTTTGTGCACATAAATGAATGTTTTTTTACCACAGGGAATGAGTCATGTTTTCCTGTGCTGTATCAATGATCTTGCCCTCGTAGTTCAACCTTTGATCCGGTATCACATAACGAAGCCAAACTGCCATATTCAGTCTATTATTATCGGAATTCTGAGGATTCTTTTTTTCTTTGGTTGTTATTTTATTATAAGTATGAAATATCTGTATAACTTACCTAAGCAATCAGGAAAAGCTCTAGGGCCTAACAGCCATGACATATGCCCACTATTTTAGTGGAAACCGCAAAAGCTCTTGAAAAAGTGAATTGGTCTTGACATTGAAATGTTGAAAACAACTTCAGAGACCTACATTCCAGAGGGTGGCTGTTTTTCTGTTTAATTACTTAATCACTTTATTTAGGTTGCTTTTAAAAATGGGTGAGTCAGACTTGTGGCGTGTACGGCCATAAGTGCATGCTTGTATACCTCAAAGCCAAGTTGGCCTAGTAGTGGCTACACAGTCAGCTGAGAAGGCATGCCCAGGCTTGCCATGGCCACATCGCTTTAACTATGCTTTGCACTTGGATGGATTTCCTGATGTACTCTATTGCCCTTGCCATCCTTCCACTGTTTACAATCGGATAAAAAACCTGACTTTGACGTCCTGCAGCTGGCTCGAACCTCTGCCCATATACCACCCTCAGAAAATCACTTGCCTGCATTACACACCTCATCTAATCCATGCCCCCTGTCCTCAATCATCTAGGTTAAAAAAGCCATTTTCCTCTGTTCAAGTGTCCTTAGTTGACTTTCTGGAAACAACCATTATGGCAGGGTTGCCCTTATTGTGTTGCTTGAATTCAAGAAAAGAACAACATTGGCACAATAAATAGATGGATGAGTGCTGTGCTAAGTCAGCTCGATTTGCTACGTAAATTACTCTGTGGTTTCTAGTGCTCATGAGAAGGCTCATGAGTTGACTGAAAACATGAAGAAGACGAGAATGAAAGTGAGGCACAAAACCAAGGAATGCTAGGAATTACTTGTTTCTCTTTCCCACTCTTCCCTCAATGCTTCATTTGTCTCCATTGCTAAGATACTGATTATGTCAGTAAGCTTTAATGATCGGCAAATTTTTCCAGTATGTCTAATATCAATAATCTTCAAGTGGATTTTTTTTTTTTTTTTTCAGATGATGCAAATGTTTGGTTTGCTTGATGTGAGTTAATGCAAGGCTTGTGCTTATAACTTATTGGTTTGTTTTGGAAAGTCTAGTTCTGCTTGATGGCTTGCACTATTTCTAGCTTTGTCCTTTATCCCATTTCCATCTAATATTTCTTCTAATATACCCTTGATCAGCAGCTGAGGTACACGGGGGACCTATGTGGGAGACATTTTGCAAAAATGTGTGCATTTGATACCATGAAAATGCATCTAGTTTCAGAACATTCCAGTTTGTTTTGGCCATCTAACTGAGCAACAAATATTCACCTTAGAAAAATGGGGATATCAGAGTCAGACGTGTGAGGGAGGTTACTTAGATGCTTGGCCGAGGTCAACCAAATAAACATTTACAAAACTTTTGCCCAACTATTTTTCCATTTGTCATGTAACTTGTAGTCAGACTACAAATGTTGCTTGACTGATGTCAACCAAAATAAACACTAAGGAAGCTTTTTCCTCTCCTTTTTTCCCATTCATCATGCAACCAGTAAAAATTCTAAAAGCAACATTGGCCCCAAAATGGGGCACATAATCCACTCTTAAAAATCTATAATTGTCATGAAATTAAATACAATTATTAAAATATCAACGTGAAATCAAAAAACAAAAGTAAAAAAATGGTTGTAGTTTTGTAATTTAATTGTGTTTTTATAAATTTTTCTAATCACAAGATGCACAATGATAAATATTACACAGAAACAGGGAATGGTTAAGCTGATTAACTTGTTATTTACTTAGTTATTTAGGTTTAGTTAATTAAACAATAAAAGTAAACTAATACAAATAAATAAATAATAAAAACTAGATGTGCTATTCAAATTTTGGGTAAAAAAGCATTTGGAAACTTTCTGGATGTGGTTATGTTATAGCCTTATGCTTTATATAACATGTGAACTTCAGAAGAACTAACTTCACTAAACTCCACTAAAATCAATGTAACACCAGTTGGTCAAAAAGGATCCGGAAAGTCTAACATAATTTTTGGTTTACTATTTTCATTTCCAATGCAACAAAATACTTTTTGAGTTTATGTGCTGTTCGGATATTACACACTGCATAAAAGTTATTGAAAGTTACTAAAAGTTATTTTTTGCATCTTTTTAGTGGTGTTTAAAAAATCCATGGCTACATCTGAAAGCTTAAAAATGCTCCATTCAGATAATGCATAAAGGCACATCTGAATCCAATGTTAGCTAAATCCAATCTGAATCCAATGTTAACTTCCCGATATCTTCATTTGATACATTTTTGAAAACAGCATGTATCCTCTGCCTTTGATATCCCACAATCCTGTGCGTTCCATTCTGTGACAGTTGAACTAGAAAAATAAAGCTGTGTTCTTTTTTTTTACCAATGTTTTCCACTTTTGATGTCATTTCTAGCGAGTAAGTGCTATTGTAGTAATTAAAGCTGCAGTACATAGCTTTTTGGGGGGTTAAAAATGATCCAAAATACATATTTGAGAAAATACATAACTAGCTAGTGTTCAAAACTATCTGCTTGCCCTAACGCGATTCAGACACGGCACCAGACACAAATTCATGGATGGGCGATACATTTTTTCGGTTGGGGGGGGGGGGGGGCATGTTCTGAGATAAACCTAATTCCCTAATTGCATAATAACATTAAATGATATGACCGATTATGAATTGAATATGTATGATATACAATGATTATGACCGTAGTAGTCTGTTACATAATGTACTGACACTATTTAAAT